CATGCACATGAGTGGGGCTGCAGAGCACCCCGAGCCAGGCCTCGGCTCCGCAGCACAACCTGGCAGAATCCCAACGAAAACAGGGCTGGAAATAATACTGATGCGCAAAGTCCCCGTGAGGAGGCGGCAGGGAGGGCTCGCTGAGCCCAGCCACGGCACATGCAGGAGGAGCTTCCAAGCACTGCAGCTGGGTCTGGCGGATGCCCGACCGAGCGCGGCGGCGCGCGGGGCTAAGAGGACACAGTCACTGCCGTCAGGGCTCCGTTCCGAGTGTAGTAGAACTTGCTATCCTCCCAATCTATAGGCTCTGAGCCTCTATAAACAGGTGAGTCTGCTCTGGTCAGCCTGGGGAGAACAGGAGCCGTGACGGGGAGGCCCTGTCCACTCTGAGAGCTGGCTGGAGCCCCCAAGGCAGGGACATGGCTTATTCCTCCTGCCTCCCCACCAGAAAGGGCTGACCTGGCTTAAACCGCTGAACTTTGAGACAGGCACCCTGGCCCACAGCCTACCTGAGCCCCTGCTTACCTCGCTGATGAACCCAAGCTGGACCAGTTCAGCTGCCAGCTCCTGGATGTTGTCATCTGCAACACAGGGAAGGGGGTCAGTCCCCCATCCACTGGCTCCAGTGCACCTCAGCACAGGCAGAAAGGTACTTACTGGGCTGCAAGTCGCAGCTCAAGTGTCGATTCAACTTGTCTTCCAGTTTCAGCAGCAGTGTCAGCTGTGGGGCAGAGAAGTTCTCATGAGGGACTGCAATGCTGCAGGCTGACACAGCCAGCCCAAAGCATCCCCAGCAATGTCCCCCTTGGGGTAGGAGCCACCCCTCCAGAGCCCCATGGGGGCTAACAGAACAGCCACAGCCAGTTCCATCCCAAACCATGGCTGGCAGCCCTAACCTGTGCAGGAAGCCCAGACCTGAGGGTGGGCTGAGGTACCCTGCACATGCCTGGGCTGGGCTGTGGGTCCCAACAGGGGCAGCTGCAGCAGCTCAGGGTCTCCCCAGACACCAGCAGCACATCAGAACCATTAGCTCTGCACAGCTGTCCCAGACCCCCCCAGCTCAGCCAGACATGGAACTTACATGGTGCTTTACCCCCTCCTCCACAGACTCGATGTTGCACTGCATCAGCACCACCTGGAACAGAGGCACAGACCATGAGCACCCACAGGCTCAGCTGCCCGGGCAGGGGAGGGGGACGGAGCCCCCACGGCTCACCTTGCGGGTCTCCACCTCAGCAGGCTCTGGGGTTGGGGTCTTCACTGATGGGGGAGCAATGGGAGACTTCACCACGACCTGCTGGGGCTGCTGGGGCCGAGGCATCCCAAAAGCCGTCAGGGGGTAGATGCCGTTCCTGCAGGGAAGGAGCAGGGTCTGAGGTCAGGCCTCTCTGAAATTCTCCAGTCTCACACAGCTAAAGGTGCCCTTTAAACAGAACCTCTTACCTTACATCCTCCAGGAACTTGTCCAGCTCCAACGCTGGAGACTGTGAGAAGCTGAAAACAAAACAAAACATCCTGAGATGAGAAATCATCACTGCACCATCCACTCGGGTCTCCTGGCCTGCAACTTCCAATCCCCATGTCCTGGGCTGTGTCTGTGGGCAGGACGGGTATGGACAGAGGCAGCCACAGGTGAGGCAGGCCCCAGCCTTCCCATAAGGACACAACTATCCACAGGAGCTAAGGATGAGGCAGCAGTTCTGGCAGGGCAGGTCTCAGCTCCCTGCAGAGCTGTCTGATGCAGTGTTACTGGGAAGGTGCCAGAGAGGTGTTTCACAGACACCTGCTACACCAGCCCTCAGCTGCAAACACCCTGAACAGCCAAACCCCTGTCTCACGGCTGCTCTGAAGCATTCCAGGGACAAGGCAGGGACTGCCAAGCTGCTCAAACCCTGCCAGGATATCTGCAGGTGCTTTGCTGTCCCTCAGGGCCGGTGTGGGTGCACAGCTGCCTCGGCTCCCTGACCACTCTCCAGGCCTCCCCATGCCCCCAGCAGCAGTTTTCAACAAGAACTGACAGTCTGCCCCTGGCAGCTTGGCCTGCATGGCAGTCTGGTGATATGCTCTGATGCTCCGAGTCGTTGCTGCATTCTTTCTCTTTTGCAGCACCACCAAAAGGGAGCCCAGGCTGGCACCCATAGACTGACACCACACGTGTGCACTGGGTCTCTCTGGCACAGCTTTGACTGCTCACCTGTTATCCTCCATTCTGGACCTCATCAAAAACATTCCAAAGGGAATTCCATGCTATTATTTCCTAGTGCTATGACAACTGGAATGTCAGTTCTCAGAAGGGTTTCTGTGGCTCAGAGCTGCTCAAAATGATGAGGCTGTTCTTCCCTGTCACCCTGGTTACTCTTGTTGTGTGCCTGAGCATCCCAGAACTCTGGGCTCCCCTGGAAGCACCCTGGGCTTCTCTGGGAATACAGTATGCCCATCTTAGTCCTTTCAGCTAGTCCCTCAACTAGCCAAGGCTTTGTTACCCAAAATGTGCATCACTGGCACTTTACTTTCTCCACACGTATCATGGCGACCTTAGGGGCCACATCTAGAGTGTAAGTGGTGCTGTGTGTCACTGACAGCTGCCCAAACTGCCCCCCCCTGCACAGTGTGGAATCAGCTGCTGTGCTAGGAAAGCACTGAGGAACCCTTTCTCCAAGTTGCACTCCATCTGACAAGGCTGAGATTGGTCCAAGCACCTCCCCAAACTGCTCAGGTATGTTTCACTGAAGACTGTTCCACCTACAGCATGTTCGTTTCCCACCCATCTGGGGAACGATTCACATCTCAGCTGCATGGAATCTGCTCCCAGGACATGGGTGCAAGGTCTCCTTCCACCCAGGAGTCACCCTGCCCAGGACTGTGGGCCCAGACAGACAGCAACTGCTCCTTCACCACCTGTTGGTGGTGGAACACCAAAGAGCCCTGGGCAGACCTGAAGCACTCACCCCAGTGCCCCAACACTGCTCCCCTGAGCAGCCCCCCGAGCACACCACGAGGACTCACATCATCTTGACTCCTTCCCTGTCCTCGTGATTGATCTCTGCCAACACCGCGTTCATGTCAAGGTTTTTGGTCATTTCTTCTAAAGCGTTTTCAGGAATCATATCTATCAGTAAAAAAGGGAAATGTCAGGACAACTGGAGTTCCCTCCCAGGCTCGGAGAAGCAATGAACAGCAGAGGCCTTGGGCTCTCCTGATGCCCTCGGAGCAGGACAGGCGCCGTGGCCCTCCCAGCCCCGCACTAACCACAGCCGTGTCCCTGCCGGGACCGAGCAGCAGGGAGAGGCTTCCCGGGGCGCCAGCTGCACTGCCAGCTCAGCACAGCCCTGCAGGACACAAACTGCAGCTGGGTGTGTGCCCCGGGGCTCCGTACTCACGCTGGTGCCCCACGATGCAGTGTGCAGCCAACAGCTTCAGCGACGGCACCTCGAAGAGCGCCTGGTGGAAGAGCAGCTCGCGGGCCGTGGGGCGCCTGCCAGGGTCCTGCTCCAGACACTTCTGGATGAACTCCTGCAGACACACCCGGCGTGAGACCACCAGCAGTGCCCCCAGGGCGACGCAGGGCACCCTCCCCGCGGCTCACCCGCTGCAGCGGGTCCTCCAGCAGCTGGATGGCACTGTTGATGGCCTCCTGCGGCACGTAGGAGGACTCCCCATTCCCCTGGATCTCCAGCACTGCCATCTGCAAACACAGAGCAGAGCATCAGCATCCACTGGGAACGGCAGGCTGCAGGAAAGCAGCTCAAAGGGATCACTGCGAGATCACCACAGCCAAGGTGTTTGGGGCACTCTGAGGTCAGAGTTTGGGGAGGCAGAGAGAACTTGGTCTCTCCTGCCAGGGCTGCAGGGAGAGGAGAGAGGGAATGGCCTTGAGCTGAGCCAGGGCAGAGTCAGATTGGATGTGAGGAGAAATGTTTTCCCTGTTGTGGTGTTGAGGCCCTGGGATATTGCCCAGGGAGGTGGTGCAGTCACCATCCCTGGAGGTGTTTCAGAGGTGTCTGATGTGGCACTGGAGGATCTGGTTTAGGAGTTACAGCAGTGACAGGTGAATGGTTGCACTTGATGACCACAGAGGTCTCCTCCAACCCTGATGATTCAATGAACAGCTGCCTCATTACCACAGCTCACTCCTAGCACCCCAACAGACTGCTAGGGAGACCCAAGAACTCTGCCAGCAGCACCCTGGACACTGTGTCGATTCTGGACTTTGTGATCCATTGGCCTGTCATTCTGCTTGATAATTCCTGCTCTAATGAAGCAGTGGCTGGATCCCTGCCAGGGTCAGGCAGTGTCCCTCCTGCTGTGTGAATGGCTCTGTACCACAAAACAACACCAAGCACACAACGCATCCAGAATGGGCTGTGGCCAGCACTGGCACCAATTCCCAGCTAGGAAAGGCTGGAGAACATTGCAGAGAATGTCTTTAGACTCGAGACGAAGTTTGTTTCCTAGAAGCTGTGTCTTTCCACGGTTCTTTTACTGCTTCACTTATGCAATGTGCAGCACAGGGTGAGAGTTCTTTGTGTTGGCTCTTTCTGACAATCCTTCCCAGAGAACACTGCTAGCAACAACTCCCATTTCCTGGACTCAGGCCTACTGACTGTAAGGACAGAGGAACTACAGAGCTGCTGTGACCAGCTATGTCAGACACACTGACTGCAGCCAGCACCTGTATTGGGTGGGCACAGGCTAGCCCAGAAAGAATCCTCAGATTCAGCCCCTCTGTCCCACAGCCCATGCTCCACACTCACCTCCAGCGCACACATCCCAAAGGAGTAGATGTCCACAGCAGTGGTGACATTGGCCACTTCTGCAAGACAGAAACAGTGCTGTGACCAGGCAGCCCTGCCTGCAGCAGCCCCGCTCTGTGCCAGTCCTCAGCTCCTCTCCCTCCTCTGCTACCAAAGTGCAGAGCAGCTGAGGCATTTCAGCAGGCAAACAGCTCAGCAGTGTTAATGTGGCACCTGCCAGGAGCTGAGGAGGCAGCACACAACAGCCTGGAAGCATCAGTAGGGCCAACACCCCCACGGCAGCCATGCCATACCTCCGTATTCCGGGGCAAAGAAGTGCAGGTTCTTCTGCTCCTCCCGACAGGTCTTCACATGGTTGTTAATCGTGTCTGGCGCCACTAGAAGAAAGTCAGGAATGCTTAGGGTGCAGGAAACCACAGCCCATCCCCGAGGAGACCCCAGGGAACACCTGCAACCCCAAGGGCAGGACAGTGGAGCTGAGGTGGCTCTCCATAGCCCTTATCTCCGGTCACCTGCCCCGGTACAGTCCTGCACTGTGTCTTTGGCAGCTTAGCATCACTCTCCAAGGCACACCTGAAAACCTCAGCTGCTGCTTAGTGGGAAGACAAGCTGGGAAGGACACCCAAGTTGACGTGCCTAACTTCAGTCAGATCTGCAGCATCTGTCACAAGCAACTTGGGCAGGACAGCATCCCAAGGAACAGATGGAGATGCCAAGGTCACTGCAGACTGTCACCACCTCAGGGTGCTGGGAGGATGCACCCACCAGGCAACTCCTCCACGTATCAGGAGGACACTGATGCCAAAGTGCCTCCAAACAAAAGTCAAGACAAGCTGCTGAAGTGGGGAGGTGACCACCCTGACAGCAGAGACCTCCCAGCAGCCACAAACCACTCAGAGCTATGGGAATAACTCTCAGCCACAAGAACTGAGCAGAGCCAAGTACAGATTCCCATGAAAGATAAGCCTTCAGGACAGACACCTCTGCAGGCACTGCAAACAACTCTCCAAAACTAAGAAGGTGTCTGTGCCAGGGAGAAACACCGAGGTGGGCAGGGAGCACAGAGCCAATACCCATGTGAAGCTCTACGATCTTGCTGGAATGTGCCCAGCCCCATAGCCTCGGGCCAATCTTCCACTTGGTCACCCTCCTGGGCAATCACAGTCACCCTGGGCTGACACAGGATGTGCCAAACCACTTATATTTTTCCACACCAAAGAGGATTCCCAGCTGAGTGAGACCAGAGAAGTTCCCAGTCCCAGAAGCGGTCGGACAAGACAGATCTCCCTCGGTCACTCTGCTCAGCCTCGCTGCACAGCACATACCAAATACCAAATCACATTATTCCCATGGCCACAGCCCTCTTTCCCAACCAACCATTCACAAGTAGTTTGCTGCTTCTTGTTCCGATGCTAGCACTGATCCTGGAGTCCAGCAGGAGGACTCCATTCCTCGTGCTCGCCAGGTCCTCTGAGCTCCACACCACCAAGCAGTGTAAGGTATGTTCGTTGGCCTTCTCCTAAGCCCTGCCGTTTTCCCAGGGACACTGACTGCTTTAGACAAGCTCTGGCCAGGGCTGTGCACCATCACACCAGTTTTCTCTACTGGGAACTCTGCCCCAGTGGATCTCCACACCCCCCACGTGCCAAGTGTCTCAAAGGCCTCCTTGAGCAGCAGCAAACATCTGATCCGCCTCAGGTCCCAAGTGCAGCTTTGTGTTTCACACTCCCAAGTTACAACTGGAGTTTGTCCAGTCCTCTACCATGTTCCTGTGCTGCTGCAGCTAACCCCTTGGTGGGGCAGCCCCAACCCAGCCACCATGCATCACCCAGTGCCAGAGCCAGCACACAGGTGAAGCACCCACAGCCTGTCCAGCACACTCTGTTCTCACAACAGGCCTCCTAAAGAGAGCACTCCAGAGTTCAGAAACCCTTCGGCCAGATTTATGCTGTAGTCTGTGGGATCCTGGATGTCTGCGCAGGATGTACTGTACAGGGACGATCATAGAGGTGTCTGTGGTCACACAGGCATGGCAGAGGGACTCCTGGAGTGGGGGCAGACAGTTTGGGGAGAGAAAATTACTTATTTTCTAAGTCTTCTATTTGTTCTGCCTTTCTTATCAGTACAATGGATTGTAAGGAGAAAGAGGAACCCAAAACTCTGCAGCCCCATCCTGCCAAGCATGAGCAGAATTGGCCAAGGATAAAGTCACTGTCCACACAACGCTGTGAACAGCTTTGTTTACCACCATGTCTTTAAATCCTGTTGCAACCATCTGTTGGACGGCAAGGGCCAGTCCACTCTGCAGCCACTGCACCCGAGGCTCCTGGGCCCATTCGAGGAAGGGATGAGGCAGCGATTGCTCACAGGTTATCAGCAGAAATCTCAGCAGTGACAGTGTGGTAACTGAGGCACTGCCATACCAGACAGGCAGGTACAGGGGCAGCTCCATCTATAATGTCTGGCTGGGCCTTGTTAAGGACTTGACAACGAGCTCCTCTGCATCCAGGTCCTACAGACCTTCTGCAGTGCCCCAGCATGTCTGCAAACAGCTTGGTAGGCACTGTCTGTGGGAACCTCCAGCTCAGACACAGACAGGCAGCTCTGAACTGCTGCCGTGGGTCAGCCAGGGCCCTGTCTCCTCTGGTGCTCCTGGTGCTGAGTCCCACTGGAACTCCTCGGTGTGTTTTTCCACCAGTTGCAGAGACTGGCCCTGCAGCTGGGTTTGATCAGCCACACTTGGCAGGGGCTGTGCCTGCTCCAGGCTGTCCCAGCTCACGTGCAGCTCGGCTGACGTCACGAGTGTCACCTTGCTCTGTTCCTGCAGAGCTGAGGCAGTGCAGGGGCACAGCAATGGCATCACACCCCAGAAACCCTCAGAGCAAAGCAGGCACAGTCCTGCCAGACACAGTCCTGCTCCGTGCACCGCTTACAGCACAACCTGGTACTAAGTTCAGCTCTGGAAAACTCCCTGCAGGCACATTCAATCCAGCAGGCAGAAGTGCTGTCACCTGTGACAGGATTTTAGACACTGGGACCAGAAACTTTGGGTTTGGTCTGATCACTACTGCAGGCCCATCACCCTGGTGCACAGACCACTCTGCACTGACAGGGACTGGAGAGCTTCACCTCAGCCCATATTTTAAACCAAAGAACATACACCTGAAGGCACCACCCACACAAGCTCTCCTGCCAGACTCACACAGCTGCTACCTGCCACCCACTGCTGTACCGAGTGCTGGCTCCATGCGGTGAGGGACGGGATGGACAAAGGCTGAGAATGGTCATGTTAAGCAAGACAAACAGTGAGGGTCACAAAGGAAAGCCAGAGCACCAACGGCAGCAACGAACATGTCTCTCTCAGCCAGGAGCAGGTGACAGCATGGGGCAGACTACAAGACAGAGCTCCACAGGACTGACCAGTCTGGTGGGGAATTAGAAGATTTAGAACAAGGTTCAGCCAAACACAGTGTCTGTGCAGGGCAGGGACAGGAAGAAATGTGAAGCACAGTGGAAGGCAGGACAAGCAACCTGAACTCAATCTGACAACAAAAGCATGCGGAGAGATCATCAGCATTCCTACACAAACATGTGGAGCTGTTCTGACTTCTCAAGCCCTCAAGGACACACCAAGAGCTGCCCAGGGGCAGGGGATGGATCACCAGTGTCCTTCCTGGCTCTCCCCACGCCAGGGTGAGCAGAGGTGCCCAGGCACACAGCCTCTTGCCCTCGGGAACACCCCACACTGCAGAGGACACTTCCCTCTTGTTCAGGGTCCAACTCACACCTGCCTTTGTTCCGCATTCAGCACTTCCTCCTTGCAGGCAGGAAAGATATCCTGACCACAGCTCTGCCCCTCCTGCAGCAGCCACTGAGCCTCTGAGGCTCATGCAAATGCCTGAATGTGCTCCAAAGCAGGAGAACATAGAATCACAGAATCTTCAGGGGTCGTAAGGGACCTTAGAGATCATCTAGTCCCAACCCACCCTGCCACAGGCAGGGACACCTCTCACTAGACCAGGCTCCACTCCTCAGCAAAGGGCTCAGTGCCCTGTCCAGCAGGTCTTAGCAGGCTCAGAAAGCAGAGGGAAACCAGGTGACAGCAAGAAGGATCAACAGTGACCTCTAAGATTGTCCCACGCTTGCTATGCAATGCAGCAATGGGACAATTACCACCATACCAGCACCACAGGGACTCAAAGATCAGCTGAACCCAAGACCATCTCTCCAAGAGGTGGCCACGGGGGCCAGGAGAGACACGAGACCACATTATCGTCCCCTGCTCTCATGTGCTCAAGACACTTTCACTCCTGCAAGAGGGTACAAGGCTGTACACCCCAGGAGATTTCACAGCTCACTTCCTCCTCACACAGTGATGACAAATGCTGTTTCACTAGGGAGGGCAAAGACTAGAAAACAAGGAACTAGGAAGTTATCTGGAACAAAAGCAGCATGCAGGCACTAAACACAAACTGCAGCAGAAAAAGCAGTGGCAGATCTAGCTGACCACAGAATACAAACACCCTACAGCCTTCAGATCTGTATCGGGGATGCAAAATACGTGCAGCATTGAGTCACCACAAATAACAGGATTTTATTACTTTTAACAGCTGAGTATCATGAGCTGAAGAGGCAGAGGTTCAGTGTGTAGAAGTTCAATTCACAGAGTTCCCAGTGCCAGGTAAGGCCCCCACACCTGCTCACTCCACTCCTACCACATGCATTGGCATTGCCCCAGCAGGATAACCAACCTCTGCCAAGCACTGCCCAGGGTCCCCTGGAGCAGCACCAGTGGCACTGGTCACAGGGAGCTAGTGTCACACATGCACGAGAGGAAGTCACCTTTGCACAGAAACCAACACGGAATCCTGAAATTGCAGCACAGCTCAGCTGGGAAGGACCTGGAGCTGAGCTCATCCAACCCCCTGTCCCAGCAGGGGGACACAGAGCTGGCTGCCCAGGACTGTGTCTAGATGGCTTTTGGGTAGCTCCAAGGATGGAGACTCCATCACTGCCTTGGGCAACCTGTGCCACCACCACCCTGAGGGTGACCGCACTGCGCCACACTCCTCGTGAAACAGTGGGGGGTATGTTTATATCTTAGTCAAAGGGCACTCAGAGTTTCAGCCTGACATGTCTGACCACATCCATTACATGCAAGCAGAAAGGGGAAGTAGGCAGAGCCGGAAACACGAGAACAGATAATGAGGAGCTGCAAGATCCTGTCAGCCCTGGCCGCATGCAGCTCTTGATCAGGGACCTAGGAGCTCACTGGCACTTTGTCTGGAACAGTCCATCAGACAAACAACTTCATCCCCAACGTGTGTCAGGAGATCTGAAATCCGCACCCAAACTCGAGTTCCAAGTTCTGGACCAG